AAACCGTATAATTTGGTAGGATCATATTACGGATCAACCTTGGCAGACCATTTGGATGTTTGATTCAACCCAATTATTGAACCGTATTCGCAAACCTTCTTGGGTTTAGTAGTAGATTACATTGCGTTCGTGTGTTCTCGTTATTCGCTTTACTAGCCATGGGATGCCTACACAGGGAGTGATGATACCTGCTCTTTCGAGGCGTCGGCGGTGGATCCCGCCAATCGAACTCCCGCTCCGCCATTGCGTACCACTAGCACAGCTTCCAGTAGCGGCGCCTCAAGTTCAGGGGTTGGAATGGTCTGCGATGGGACTGGGCCGTCAAATTTTTTCTCTAAGCCTTTGCCTCCTACGCCGGGAAGTGAGCGACGTGAGAGACGCGTCAAGAGGGGTAAACAGGGTACTAGTTTGGCCCCACCACCATCTCTTCCCAACATCTCCCTCCCTATGAAGGTGCATCACGAAGTCCATGTCACCATTGATCCAAACAGTGGTGAATTTAAGGTAAGTTTACGCTAACTTTTCCTTCTTCGATATTTGCTTAACCGATTTCGTCAACAGCGTTTTGTTGGGTGTTTTGAACTTCAACTTACAGTGAATAATGGGGTGTTCTTAGCACCGTTTTCCTTTTTTGAGCTGTAATCTAACAGAGCTTCCTGTTTATTTTTAAAAACCTGTGAAAGTGCCAAGTCTTTGCATCAAAATGGTCACTTGACTTCATACATTTCTACTGTAAAAAGAAAATTGTCAGTCTTTTTGTTAAATTCTTACCAGTATAAATTAACGTCTTTGCGGATAATTAGATTTTCAGAGGGATGTGCTTCCGCCATTTCGCTATAATTTCGATTTTAGACCGATAGTTCCCCGCTTTAATCTTTCCTACGGTCCTTTCATGGAGACACTTCCTTTTCCATCTCTTTCCTTTTCGGTTCTATACTCTCTTGGTGTTTTCACTCACGCATCCCTCTTCCAATTCATTCTTTATACAGTTCGGCTTTTGAAGATATTTGGGCACCT